TAATCCCACAAATATAGAAACTGAAAAAAAAGAGGAGGCATACGTTAAAAAAATAAGAAAATATAAATACAATATTCAAAATCAAAATCAAAATAATTATTTTATAATAATTATTTTATATTTGTAAAATATAATGATAATGTATTATAATTATCAACTATGAATAATTTTATTATTTAAACAAAATATATTTCTATTTTATAATAATTATTTGATATTTTTTGTAAAATATAATGATAATGTATTATAATTATCAACTATGAATAATTTTATTGTTTAAGTAAAATATATTTATAATAAATAAGGACCTAAATAATATATTTAATCATATAATAATAGTCCAATAAATATAGAAATTGAAAAAAAAAAAAAAGAAGGTCGGACGTTAAGAAAAAAAAAACAAAAAAGCACTCGCTATTATAATTATCAAATATATTATATTACTAAAATACTTATCAATTTTTATATATATTTAAATTCATAAAATAATATATTAATATACTATTTATATCATAATTTAAAATAATAAAAAAATATTATATTGTATAATAATTACAATATTCACAATCAAAATACAAATAACTATTTGATTTTTTTTGTAAAATGTAATGATAATATATTATAATTATCAACTATAAATAATTTTATTATTTAAACCAAAAATAGTTTTAATAAATAAGGACCTAAATAATTTATTTGACCATATAATCATAATCCTACAAATATAGAAACTGAAAAAAAAAAGAGAGGCATACGTTAAAAAAATAAGAAAATATAAATACAATATTCAAAATCAAAATCAAAATAATTATTTTATAATAATTATTTGATATTTTTAAAATATAATGATAATGTATTATAATTATCAACTATGAATAATTTTATTGTTTAAACAAAATATATTTCTATTTTATAATAATTATTTGATATTTTTTATAAAATATAATGATAATGTATTATAATTATCAACTATGAATAATTTTATTATTTAAGTAAAATATATTTATAATAAATAAGGACCTAAATAATATATTTAATCATATAATAATAGTCCAATAAATATAGAAACTGAAAAAAAAAGGAGGTCGGACGTTAAAAACAAAAAAAAAAAAACTGCTATTTTTTGTAAAATATAATGATAATATATTATAATTATTAACTATAATAGTGGGGGGAAAAAAAAAGAAATGCTACGGTGAAGTTCCACCAACCCAACACCAAAAGAAAAAAAGAGCCTAGAAGTTTAAAAAAAAAAACAGATCTGTTATAGTAAATGAAAATGGTAAAAAAACAAAAAACAAATTAATTTTCAAACCAAAGGGACTGATTAATATATAATCAAAAGGTTTTTTTCTTTTTTGGTAGCTTTTAGTTGTGGCTATGATTGTTACGGGCGTGGCTTTAATTGTAAAAGTGATTAGTACGAGTTGTTAAATGTTTAATGTTAAATAAGACTTAAAAAAAACTTCATTTTTTTATATTTTTGGCTATTCTAAATTATTTTTAAAATTTTATCAAATTTCTTTTCTTTTCTTTTTTTTTGAGAAAAAAAAACCCAAAAATCATAATTTCCCAAACCAGCTCTAAATATCTATCTCCTTATTGAACATTTTATGTTTTATTAAATATATTTGAACCTTGTTATATAATTTTTTTTTCTTGATATGAGCAACTCATTAGATATTAAATAAGAGAAGCGACCTAAACGAGTATGATTTATTTATTTATCTATTTCACACACAACATAAACTTATCAAATAAGTGACAAAAAATTTAGAAGAATCAAGTATTCAAGAGATTATCGGATACATTTGACATACTTGTTCTACTCGTATAAAAGTGACTTCTCCGACTTATAAAGCAAAGTGATCTAATAATTATCACTTATGAGTAGGAGAGCATAATTATTTACGAAAGAAAAAAAGAAAATAATAAAACAAAAAATAAAAATAGTAAAATAGTGAAAAGGATAAAAAAAAAATTAGTTTTCAAACCAAATGGACTAATTAATTTATTTCTAAAAGAATGAGGGACCAAGATGCAAAAAAATATGTATGAATAGGAATTTTGAGTGTGTAGCTACGGTGAATGAATAGTTATACCCTCACTTCTTTTAGTATTTTTTATTATAATTCATCTAGTTAGTGCTCTCACTAAATCACTAGAATTTTCAAGAAACGATTGGGTCTTGTCGACTCTACGTGGAAGTCAATCTCACAAAAGACAAAAGAATTCTACTAGAATAAGTATAAGGTAATATTTTAATTGCTTTTTTATATTACATTTAAATTAGTAACATAAAATATTCTAATATTAATTTTTTTCTTCCTTGTAAAAGTATTTTTTATGGGAAAAAGTTGTTACCTTGATGGTTAAGACGACATGGGAGAGTCCGGCACACAAGTGGTATGCCAACATGTTAACTAGCTATAAAGAAAAGGACCAACAAATCCTTGTTTGTCCTAAAGCCTATGTGGGATAGATGACGTTGGGATTGAAACACACCCGAGTTTCGAGCTCGTTACGAGGAGGCATCATGAAATCGCATAAGCAAGATAGGTGGTGCCAATGTTGGGCCATCTAAATATACGGGGCCTCCATCTCATAGATTGAGCACGCCGAACGAATTGTAAATCCTATTAACCATTGCGTTATAAATTAATATTTGATTTTATTGCATTTCATATTGTTTATGCCTACTTTTTTCGGCTAAAAAGTTGAGTTATGACCAATATCGTTATGTGTTGTTCATAAGAACTCATAAGTGCCGGGATGGGTCGTTCGTAGATCCGCGAGTCCCATGCATTTAGGGTAAATTTTTTATTATTTTAACTATACATACGTAAATTTAATTAAAAAATTACATTTATGATTTAATATTATAATTTTTTCGATTGTGTAAGAGTGCATGGACTAATTGTATGCGTCAGCTGCTAGCCAATAGTCGGAGGGTGATTCATCATCTCCATACATCGACACGTAACGAGATATATCTTTAGGCTCTAGGCGAAAAGAAGAAGAATAGAATGTACGATATCCTATCATAAGAGTCCCAATATTACTTGCATTTTGACAATAGCTCATCCTCTCGCCACATCATGTTTCCTTGGTCGTATGCAACGGGATCATAAGTACCGGTAATAAAAGCTGAAAGACGTACATTGTGACTATACTCGACAAATCTAGGAGGTCGAGACCAAATACAAGAGGGAGTACCAACTTATCATGTAGTTGATGCGAGTGGATGGGGTAGTTGTTAGAGGAATCACTCAAGAGTTGCGTCCCTCCTTGTAACCCTCTCCTCTCCTACCTAGGAGTCAACATTTCCTCTTAATACCGACATCTAAAAGACGATGCGAGCAAATGATCTTGATGAGAACTAGTTTTCTTTTAAATATGTTCGTATATCGGATTGTATGTGTGCGTGTGTGTGTGCGTGTGTATTAGATTTGATTTTATATTCATTTAATTTTATTCAATAATATTTTGTGTTATAATTTTAATTTTAGTTGTTGGCTACTATGATGAAATATTTAAATGTTGATTAACAAGATTAAAAAAAATTCCTTAATTTAGCGACATATCGGCAATCTCCTAACAAAAAAAAAAAAATTAAATTAAACACTCGGGGATAAAAATAAAATCGATAAAAATAGCGATGGATTCCAATCACCGAAATTAGTGACGATTTTCATATCTATATAGCGACAAAAATAAAACTAATTATTGACGAGTTTGATGATGGATTTCACACTAAATATACGATTGTTTGCTATGAAATAGCGATAAAAATACATTAAAATAACGATAATATTTCTATCGCTAATGAGCGATGAAATTTTAAATCGGTCACTAACAAAATTAGTGACAAACATTTTAGTGATATTTTGTTCCTATCACTAAACCAATATAGTGATGGAAATTTTTGGTTTAGTGAACACTATTTTGCTGTTTTTTTTTTTTTTGGTAGTGATATTGGTACAAACACATTTTCAACTTCATATTTTATCAAATATATTTTTCTATGATAGCCACATCCACAATTACAATCACAGCTACAATCTACTTATTCTCAATGCTAAACATACATTTAGAGTTTCTGCTGAAGCTTCACAGTGACTGAAAGCCTATGAACTCGGCTAAAGGGTAGGTAAATTATGGGTTCAAAGGTTAGATATACAACTTAAACTGAAAATGTAGATATAACCAGAGCCCCAGTACTAACCCAAGGATTTTAAATGTACCAAGCAGATCCGTTGGATCATCATAACTTAGCAACCAATAATGTTGAGATCCATTTTATTATTATTTATTACCATTCTGTTAGTTGGCCTCGCAAAACATGGCAGAGAACTTTTTGATAAGAGTAATGTTATTTTTATATAATTGTTTTAGATAATTAAAAAACAACTATTATTAGATTTATAAGAGTTATTAATAAAATTTACTTATTTAATCTATGAGATATTGTTTATTTTTTATTTTTATTATAAATAAATTTTATAAAATTATTATGTAAAAATAATATTACTCATTAATAAAAACATATAAAAAAAATTACATAACAAATCCATCCAACATCTAATAACATTTGAAAACTTGAGTAAATTGATTGATATGTATAAGCCATAGTTATATTAAAGAGAAATTATTGATTAAATATATTCGGATTATTTTCTTCATTTTCAAATAAAAAATAAAATTCATTATAAAAATTACTCATAAACTCCTCTTTTATGTTAAAAGAAAAGTATATTTGTGAATGTAATGACAGTTTCTCTCAATTCAATATTGATTGATGGCACAAAAATTAACTGAACTCATGGTCCCTTTTATGCTTGCTGAACATGTACTCTCTAGTATGGATTTCCAATCTTCAACTAAAAAATTTCTAATATTAATTTCCCAAAATCCATTATAAATATATAAGCCCTCTGAAAAAGGTTGAAAAACCATGAGTCATAAGCCCAGTTCAGTTAGTCCAAGAATGGATCGAGTGGATGACTGTTAGCGTCGGCCAAGATGAGCATAGGCGACGATTCCAAGGGGCTCCACACTTGCCTCAGCCCATAAGACTCATCGCACGTAGTTTTAACCATTTCAGGTACTGCACTTCTGCAGGGTTGGGTCGGGAGCTTTCGTGGGAAGGAATGGCATAACCCAACCACTCCCAACACGTGGCTTTCTTACCAACCCTTCTAAATCATTAAATATATAATTCTTCTATAGTCCCTGTGTAACCGATGTGGGATTGTTAGGTAGTAACTGCCCAGAAAAACAAACGACCCGGCTTCGTTTTCTTACTTGCCATTCAATGTTTGCCTCTCTCGGTATTTTCTCGCATTTTCTCTCTGATTCTTGCTAATCGAATTCATCGATTCTGCTTCTTCTTCTTTTTTCTTTTTATTAAGAACTGCTTTTGTCTGATTGGATTAGCTTCGGTTTAGTTGCTTAGGGTTTTCTTTTGCGTTTTTATTAATCGTTAATTATTTGGTTAACAAATCTTCAAATTTGTAAAATTCTTGAGCTAAAATGTCTTTTTTTTAATCATCCTACTTTTTTAACAGGATTGTGGAGATGAAAGAAAGGAATACTAATTCCACGCTGAGACGAATTTTAGTTAATTGTGCTGCCCAGGTTTGTTTTGTTTATGAGATTGAAGTATAGAATTTTTTTTATAATCATCGTACATGAATTTTTTAGCACTGGTTTGGTTTCTGTAAATGTGGAATTATGTTTGATAAAAGTGAAGGAAGTGTTCTTTTTACTGAATATATATGTTGTCAGGCGAAAGAATACGGTGGCTGTGTTGCCGCAAAGGTTCCGGAAATTGAGCGTGATATGTGTTTGAAAGAATTTCTTGCTCTTAAGAATTGCATGCAGAATACAGTATGAAACTCGAATTTTTCAAGAAAATGAATAGATTCTTGCTATTTTGCTTATTTTTGAAGGATCTGATCTAATTTCTTTCCTTTTGCTTGGCAGATTAGAGGAAAGGTTTGAGGCCTCTATATATGATATTTTATGGGCAGATACTGAATAGTGCAAGCATAATTTTATATCTTAAATTTTAGAGGTGAAGGATTTGAGTTAGGGATGTCTAGTAAAGCATCAAGTTCGCAGCTTAGTGTTAGTTCAAGTGGGTCTGGAGGGTTGTCACATGTTTATATCCAGCACCCTCCTTTACGAAGTAATGTTCTGGGATCAAGGGGTTTATTTTATGATGACGGGAATAAGCTATTGATCTCCCCTACATCTGATCAGGTAATCGGATGTTAAAATCATTTATCCAAAGTTTGTTTGCATTATCATGATTTTTTTAAATGGTCGTTGCTTATTTGCTTCAAAATTGATTTATTTGTTGGTAATTCAGGTTTTTTCATGGAAAACTGCTCCCTTTGATCCTCATGTTGCACCTACCTCTGATTCAATAAGTGAAGGGCCTGTCCTATCTATTCGGTATTCTTTAGATGCAAAGATCATAGCAGTCCAGAGATCCAGTAAAGAGATACAGTTTTTTCATAGCGAAACTGGTCAAAACTTTGGATACAAATGTAAGCCAGAGTCAGAGAGTATGCTAGGATTTTTTTGGACAGATTGTCCGCTGTGCGATTTTGTACTAGTAAAAACCAGGTAAGGAGAAGTTTTCCTTTTGTTTTATGTGGATATTAAAAGGGAATACATTTTTGTTTATCTTCAATTTCCTTACACTTCAATGTGTTTATTTGCCTTCAATTCTTGCTCAGGAATTAAAAAAAGAAAAAGAAAAAAGAGGGAAACAATTGAAACTTGGGTATTGTGAGAAGGCAATGGATTTTGTCTTTTGTGTTCTATTTGAACCTCTAGCCAAAAAGTTCTTGGTGAGATTCAAATTTGGAATCTACCGTGACCCTATCTTGATTCCTACACCTTGTCACTTCAGCTAATGACTGTAAGACAGTCATTTCCTAGTTAGGCTTTTAGCCTAGTCTGATTTATTCTTGTGACGACGGATAACTTGTTTCATGTACTTTGCTTGAATAATAAGTTCATGCTGAATATAATAGATAATGAATACTTGCATATCCTCAGAAAATTTCCATTCGTTGCTATCTGCACATTTGATGGGTTTGTTACTGCTGAGATTAGGAAGTTGTGTTCTCTAGTATGCTAAGGATTGAGATCTTCATTGCTGAACTCTCTCATACATATAGGAGACCGCTGAGTGTGATTTGGATTGTATGCAACGTTAGGGGTGTTGTATGTCATGGAGTTTTCTGCACATGGTTATCAGTTAAAACAAAACAAAATAGAAATAGAAAGTTTCTCTAGTAATAGCTTCTTTAGGAATACTCACACTTCTATCCAATTTTCTTCAGACTTGGTTCAATCCTTTCTATGCTGTTATGATCTTCCCTTTTGATTTCACTAAAATGGAGTCTTAATCTCAGTGGGCTGGATTTTCTTGCCTGTGATGTTGAATCAAAATCACTTCAATTGGTAGAGACAAAGAAATTGAATGTGAGCTGGTATGTATATACACATGAGAGTCGCTTGGTTCTTCTTGCTTCAGGAATGCAATGCAAGACCTTCAGTGGATTTCAGGTATGTTTCATCATTGGCTTCAACTTTAATTGGTTCTTGGCTGAATTTGTTGGGCTGTGACCTGTCTACATAACATTTCTGGAAATTAATATCAAGTGTACCGTCTACATTTCATGGGCATGATTTCTAGAAATGAACGTCAAGAAGATGCTGCTGTATTCATATCTTGAGACATTTACTAGAAGAGCTTATACAATGGTTGCTGTTTTCAGATTATATCAATTAAAGCTGCTTGATGATCATGAGCATCTTCTACAGTTGAAGCTTCTTCCAAAACTCTGACAAGGTTGTTGTTTCTTTTTGTTCAGCTTTCGTCTGCAGGGATTGTTCGTCTGCCGAAGTTTGAGATGGTAATGGCAAAATCTGAGGCTAACAGTAAGCCTGTCCTAGCAGTTGAAGATGTCTGTATTGCAACCATGTAGGTTTTTTGGTAGTTTGATTGCCAATAGATTAATAATATAACTTGGTCATCAACGTTGTTCACCAAGAAGAGAATGATTCGTTTGCTTATACTAATGTTAAAACTTTTCAACATTGTCAGCTATGGGAGGATATACTGCTTGCAAATTGATAGAGTTGCGATGCTACTCCACTCATATAGGTTTTATCGAGATGCTGTTGTGCAGCAGGTAATTCCTTTCTCTAATTTTCTTTTCTCTGTCACTGATAAGCATGAAATTGCTTATGGTGCTGACAAGATTTTTAGGAATAATAATCGGGTATCTCAAGTTCACCAAATTTGCTTTCAAGAACAGAACTGATCAAAGTAGAATTTTGGCAGGTGACTATAGAGTTGAGGAAACATGCTTTCTTGTACTTTATTAAATAGGTGGAAGGTTAAACTTGGGACTTTTCTGTAAATATCGGTTGCATGCATAAGTGTACCTGCACCTGATTCTTGGCCCTTTTTAATGCATGAGTACCTTTTCATGGATCATAGCATTCAAATAGTGATATCCAACTTATTGAAACTCCCAACTCAACCAACTATTTTGATCCTCATCGTGTCATCTAAATACTAGACTTGCTACAAAATGACGACACATCAGTTTCTAGAATTTGAAATGGTAATATGCCTTTTTTGTAGGGTTCCTTGCCAATATATTCAAGCAAAATTGCTGTTAGTGTGGTTGATAATGTGCTTCTTATCCATCAAGTGGATGCAAAGGTTGTTATACTATATGACATATTTGCGGATTCTCGAGCACCCATTTCTGCACCGCTGCCTCTACTGTTTAGGGGTTTCCCCAGGTCTAATACTTCTTCCTCTCGATCTACTGCAAAAGTTAGTGAAAGTCCAGAGGCCAACATAACTGATTCAGAAGCAATTATTTATGGAGATGATTGGACGTTTCTGGTTCCCGACCTTATATGTGATGTTTCTAACAAGTTGTTATGGAAGATCCATTTAGACTTGGAGGCAAGTTTAATCAGTTTATAATGCTTTTTTTTCACTTAAGTGTTATCTTGTAATTAGATCCTTCTTGCAGGCGATTTCTGCAAGTAGCTCTGAAGTTCCATCAGTGCTTGAGTTCTTGCAACGTCGGAAGTTAGAAGCTAGTAAGGTGGAGGCCTTTCTTACTTTTTGATATGCCATTTCATTTTTATAAGGGACATTTATAAGAAAAGAAACAATTACCCAAAGAACTCATTTTGATAAGAATAAAATATATTAGAATCACTTAAAGAGAAATAAAGTGGATATATTTTTTATGCATTGTGGCATTCATTCAACAGCCTTTCTTAAATATGAACTCTTAATGATTTGCTGGAGTTAATTGTTGTATTTCAGGCTAAGCAGCTGTGCTTGGCAATAACACGCAATGTTATCTTGGAAAGGAGACCGGTGTTAACGGTTGCCAAGGCAATAGATGTACTGGTTATGTCTTACTCCCAGTCACTCAAAACTGGCAGTTATCTCAAGGGAATAAAAGCAGAGAAAACCTCGCATTCTGGTGGAACACAAATTGGTATCCCAAGATCTGGTGCCCATGCATCTACAGGAGAAGTTGGTGTGCATGGAACATCCACCAAACACCAATCTAGTGCCTTAGGGGACAATGAATCTCTGAATAGATCTTTACACTTTTCAACGTCAGACTCTGAGGACAATACCCAAGTGAAATCACTAAATACAAACCCAAAAGTGAACATGGAGAAATTATCAGGTGGTGCTGAGAGTTCTAGCACTGAAGTTCACACATCATCTTCACAATCTGAGCATCTTGGACCAAGTAACAGCCCATTAAATGTTAGTGTTTCTGAAAGGCAGGAGTCTCAACTTACTTCTCCAGCAATTTCACCTGATGAGATGTATAGCTTTGTGTTTGCTCCAGTTCAGGAAGAGATAGTGGGAGACCCATCTTACTTGGTTGCCATCATTGTTGAGTTCCTTCGTAGGTATGTCAATTTTATATTTGATTCATGGCTCTGAAATGTTTTTAATGTAATTAAAATGGGCTTGGACTCTTACATGTGTCCAAAGTGATATTCTATTTTAATCAACCTGGCATGTATATTAATCAAAGCTACTTTATAACATGGAACTGGATAACTTTAAGCCATTCTGGTTTTGTGGCTGTGTTAGCCAGACCGTCAGGCACGACATGAAAGATTGACACTGCCCCTTGCCTAGTATGGGCGAGCTCCTGTTAAGATATATAAAGAATTAAAGTGAAATGTATTATAAAGTTTAACAATAACGCAGGTATATTTGTTATTATATATTAGAATACAGAAATAAATGTTGATTGGGTACGAATTTTCTCGTATGGACCAGTTCAGAAAGCAGTCAACTTGGTGGCTCTCTTTCATCCAGTGAACTGGGGAACTTTGGTTTCTCAAGGTCTGTTATAAAAATGGTTCATGTACCTATCAGGTAACTTGAGCTAGGCAAGTGATTGGAAAAGATGAACTCGAAAAGTATTTGGGAAAGATTTATATAGTTTTGTATTTCTTTTGATTGTGCATGTCTTCATATCTGCTGCACGTTAGGTTTGCACCCAATGACATACTTGTTCCCAATGTTGCAGTGCAAGTTCAGAAAAGATTAAAGTTCAACCAAACATCTATGTGTTGACAATACAACTTCTAGCACACAATGAGCGATATGCAGAACTTTCATTGTTCATCATAAACAAGGTTTTGAAACATCATCTAAAAGTGTGCTTATGAAGTTATGAAATCTCTTGTATAGTCATGAAAGCTATCTATTTTATGCTTGAGCCTTTTTTGAAATGAGTGCAACTGTTTCGTTACAGGTTCTTGAACCCTCAAAAGAAGTTGCAATGCAGCTCCTAGAATCAGGCCGTCAAAATTCCCACGTTAGGAAGCTGGGTCTAGATATGCTGAGACAGCTCTCATTGCATCATGACTACATGTTGCAACTAGTGCAAGATGGGTATTATCTTGAAGCCTTGCGTTATGCTAGGAAGCATAAGGTAATTTTTACACTACCAAATTCAGGTATAAATGCGAATGTGACCTTGTATTTTTAACTTATCTGAGGTATCAAGCTTTACTAGATAAGTAGTTTTTTAAACCTTTGGTATAGATGCAGCGGCTATTGTCGTGCTCATGATCATGCTAAATATATTTTGTTTGCTTCATGGTTGGATTTGGGAATCAGAGAATCAATTATTGTGAGAATCTTTTTGTATGTTCTTTTTTCTCCCTGTTGAAGCACTGGAAGATGTGGTGTCATTCTGAATAAATTCTGTAGTTTATTTAACTGAGCAAAGATAAAATGTCTTTAGTTGCTTTTTTCTTTTGTTTAAGTAATTTTATCTTGGACCACAATGTTAGATGGAATGGATTTCAATAGTTCCTGACAAAAGAACCCATTCATTGTTCAGGTTGTGACTGTCCGGCCCTCGTTGTTTCTTGAAGCGGCTTTGGCTTCCACTGATTCTCAACTCCTTGCTGCAGTGCTGAGATTCTTTTCAGATTTTACTCCAGGATTTAAAAACACTTCCGACTGCCATACATACTATCGGATTCTCAATGAGATGAACTCAGGTGTAGCTGTTTGAATGCCAAACCTGTACCCATTTGCAACTCTTGAACGTCAAAATAACAATTATCAGAGGATAGCGACGGAAAATACTTTTCTATTTTGCCTTTTCAGTTGTTCATGATCCTGAACCACTGACTCTATGCTTATTGTTTGTTCGAATGAAAGGGGATTCCGACGTGTGTATAAAGCATAGTCGTCGACTGGTTTGGGAACCCTTCAGATTTTGTTACAAGGTCCACAAGGTTCTTGTTCTCTCTTTTCTTTGGGTTTGGACTCTTTGAGGGCCATTATGTTTGGTTAGGGTGTCCAAAATCCAAATTAGCATATTGGGTGCTTAGTTTTGAACTTTGATGCACTTTGGTGTAAAAATTCCTTTGACCTCGTATCCTCAGAGCAAGAGAAATGGATCGAACTTGCAGATTTTGTTCCCTGGCCACTGTTCCGATGCTGAAGCTTATTACCTAAAAACAATCATCACAATTTGTATTATAGTTATTTTGCTACAACATTTTCCTATTGACCTTGCGATTCCAAATATATTTGAAGTGGATAATGATGAATCCTGGAGCATGCCTCCCCATCCAATAACATGGATATGGATATCGACAGGGTTGTCTATGCATGTTATGAGCTTGGGGACATCTGTACATTAGTCGTGAAAAATGTTGTTGCAATGATTGACAATAATTTCAAGGGATTGACTTATATGGTCAATGAAGTACATTATTCTCTTTTGATCTTTTAAGTTTAAATTTTAAGAATTTATTTGAATGTATTTGATGTGAGAAGTGTATTTTTAAGACCGTTTAAAAAAGAGATCTAATCTCAATTTCTATATAAACACATCTAAAAATACTTCTTATTGTCTATTAAAAAAATAACTACGTGAATAACATCGATAGCTTCTAAAAATTTTTGACCAAATATGGATGGCAAATTTTTACAAAAATTAGTATCTAAAAATTTTGCATCACGAATATAGTAAGTATATAGCAATATATATGATCCAGAAAACATGCTGTGAGGCCCTTTCTTTATTGTCATGAAGATAAACGAAACCCAATGAGCAAGTGAATAAAAGAACCGTTTACGAGAATAAGCAAAGACCTTAGGTCTTGGTATTCAGTCTTCTTCTAGGGATTTGCATCTTAGAGTATTTTGTGATTCTGATTGTGATTTTTGTCCTATGATAAAACAATCTTTAACTAGCTTTTGTGTGTGTTTTTAGAAATTCTCTTATCATGGAAAACAACAACAAAAAAAAAAAAGTGCTATCTCTAGATCTTCAACTGAAACAGTTAGTATATATGCAAGGAGTAGAGGATAATAGTTTGGAAAATATAAATATTGTAACCAATTTTGTAATTGATTAAGACAGTTCATTCAATACAGTAAACATACTTTCTCAAATTCTTGTTTCTCTCAACAGACTTTAACAAAGAGCATTTGATTTGGTTGAACTTATGAATGATGATAAATCTTCATGAAGGTATTGCTGAATAGATGAGGGACAAGGACACAGATTAAAGCAACTTGAATTTCAAGCTTGATTCGTGAAATCATGATGGAGGCTTTTGTCTCTCGCTTCAGCTGTTCTATTTTTTGGCTCAGGGGTGTAAGAAGTAGGCCCAAGATTGTAATATAGGAGGTACGATAGGCCCAAACATATTAATTGGCTACTCATAATAATTAGTTGAACCATCCAGCTCCAGCCATTGCATTGATTATGCATCCAAAACCATCAAAGACTGTACTTTGGCTTGCTTAATCAAAATTTAATAATGGTGGTTGTCATTATAATCTCATTAAAACTGGTAACTTCTTAAAGTTAAGAGAAGATAAATTGTTAGCTTATTCAGGTTGTATGTAGTCCTTACAAGACATGTAGCGACAAAATGCTGCTAATTGCCTAATTCATTAAAAAAACAGAATGATGTAACTTGAAATTTTAAATTGATAAGACTCTCCTCTCATGGCATAATCCACTACCCATTGTCAATTTCTTAATACAAAATATAAAGAATGCTCAGTTTTTTTTTTTTTTTTGACATCTCACATATCCACCCTCCTCCCCTCTATTTCGTTGCCATTGCTACTCTCTTTAGGTTAGTATGCACGACATCAGACCTAAAAAAAAATATTTTGTCATTACAAGGTAAATTTTTGTTTTCTTTTTTATTTTTCCTCCTTAAACAATTGAAGACCTGCCTTATTTAATTCGTATGGCTATGATATTGTTATAATAGCCGTTCCAGGCCCAGGAAGACAGAGAGAGGGAGGACCTTTTCTTTTTCGTGGACCCCTAGCTAGTCTCCCACTCATACACTATACGTTTCTTCTTTTTCTTCTTATTTTTTTTTCCTTTTTACTCTAAACTATTTATGCATAAAGATAATCAGAAATGAAGATGATATCTGCAGGATGCTTGCTTCCAACTATTAGTAATGATTTCTAACCAAAATATGTACAAGCAATGTGGCAACAAATGCTCAGCCAATTGCAAAAAGTTGATTATTAATTAGAAAATCTCTCTCTCTCTCTCTCTCTTTATGGTCAACCTCTTTCTTAATCTATTTGTATTTGGGATAACAAAATTGATTATAAAGCTTTACATAAACAATTACTTCTTTTGTCGTTTCTATTTGTGAGGACCGTCTTGTTAATTTTTCCTTTTCTTATCTAGCTAACTAATTTGCGCATGAAATTTTAATTTGTAGTATTTGTCCTTAAACAAAGAAGACACTGCCACACAGGGCTGGTCCTATTCTCCAGTTTTAGTATGACAACATTGAAGACTAACCTTATAAATATCTACCATAAAAAAGACTAATCATTAATCATATAGTACATAATTGAAATGATGGTTTTTGCTAAAGAGTTTATAGTCTAGTAATAATAGTCTCTTATAACAGAAGATTATGAATTCAAATCTTAACATATTAGTTTTGTTGGAAGTTTTGGATATCTAAATTAAAAAAAAAATGATGGCTTTTCATATTCCATTATTTGGATTGGTTTGTATATTAATTAATTGATACAAGAAAGACAATGCATTGATAGTTTGAGCTGGAAATATTGAACTTGTTTTTGCCTTGGGGCTTCATCAGTTTGGAATTTTTTTTTTAGCTTTCCCACCATGGTACGATACTGCTAATTATATTTTGGTTTCTTTGGCATTTTCAGTCCCTGTACTAGAGGAGTTCTCACACATTAAACCACAAACTACCAATTTGTGCAATCAAATTGTTGTAGTTTCTCGATTTGATTTAGATTAATCCCTCAACTCCCTCCATTCAATTTTGTTTGAGTTTTCTGTTAAATGAACAAACTTGAACATATTGGGAGCTAATGGAGAAAAATTAGATAAAATTGGACAAAAATAACTATTGCTGTCCAAACTATATACTTGAATGATATGTACACAAATTGTAAATCCCACGTTTATATAAGAAAATTGAGAAAGAGGAATAGTAATCTCTATTACTATTTATAAAGTAAATAGTACTTGTTAATCACTAATTGAACTCTTTTGATATTGTCCTAGAAAACTTACTATTGGATTTTCACCCCTGATAAAAAGAGAGGGAAAAAAATGGAAAAGAAACAAAATGAGCCTTTCTTATGCATAGTGTTGAGTAGATATTATTCATAGATGAAAGTAATTCTAAACATCATAAATTTTACGTTTCTTGATGAAAGAAGTACTCGCCTTGATTACCAAATTCCATATTATGAAGTTTTTTTGGGTTCATGTCATGCATGGACCCAATGATTGACTAGGTTGTAACTGTAAGTTATCCTATCATGACATTTCACATTCCGCTTAGAATGAGATGTTTCATTTCCTTTGTCGTTATTTCCGTTTCCTATTGGATTAAGTATAACCAAAACATTTGGAACGTCTATATATATAATATGCTGACCACTACGAATCAAGAATATGATGATAGGCACCTAATGCGATATATGCTTCCCGGCCCATTACAGATCAATGATAAAGATGGATGTTAGGTATTGATAACGATGGAAAAGCTAGCTATTCCTAAATTTATTACTATCAACTTTTGTGTTTTTCTGTATTTAGTGATTTCTAATGCAAATGGAAATGGACTAATATTAGATCATTGAAAAGATAGTTAGGTGAGCACAAATAAATAGCATATAACTTGTGCAAATGACGAGGATTGTTATTTTATAACAAAATGGTGGAACATAGCCTCCAAGGCTTGTATTTTATTTCTTTAATTTATACATTAATTCTGTCTTCCTCCTCTTTATTTTTGCTATAGACGTATGCTAATTCTTATTTATAATGCTAGCTACTTGGATCGATAGAACAAAAATGATTATGCTAATGCTTCTTTTGTGCTCAATCACCCATCAGATCTACCTTATTTTCAGTTTTTGCTTTTCTTTTCTTTCCTTCATTGTTTTTCATGTTCCGGGTTACAACTTTTTTGCTATTTTTCGTAAATAATGCTCCAACAATTTGATTCTGGGTACTTAATATAGAAAATGTACGTAATTTTGTTTATTGACAATAAAAGATATTTTCAGAATAACAAGCATATCAATTTTATAAATTAGCCTACCACGGACTCGTGGTCCAAAAATAAACGGAGCACGCTGAAAAGTAAGGATTTCCTTTTAATTTGTTTAATGAATTAGTTCACTTTTTTGCTTTATTTCTTTATATAAAGAGTTTCACTTTCCTGAGAATATAAATACACATGGCTTTGGTATAGAGGATTCCAAGCGAATGAAAAAACAAAGGCAGTTGGTGATCCCCCAGACAGAAGGAATCCTCTGGCTGCAATTTGCAAATGAGTGGATGGTAGTGCAGCCTTTTCTCTTCTAGAACGGGGTTTACTAAAAAACCATAACATTATACCAGAAAGATTTGTCCTAAACCAATAAAGAAATGTAAAATCATTGCATTACGTGGGATTCTCATGTTATCTAAGCCAATTATTGGACACATCCATCCTTTCATGGGAAGCAATGACTTGCAAGTTA